AGCGCAGTTCATGGGACTGGCACTGTCGAGTTGGCACCTTCTTGAGTTTTGCTATGCATCATTTTACCGCTCTGTGTGAGACGATGCTGCTTTCTGGCGCAAATGACACGGCGTAGGATGCAACTCTCAGCAGAAACTGTGGCTTTGTCGTCCACAGCGAGCACAGAGTTGGGCGTGCCCCAGCTTGCGTATGACAGTGCCCAGATTCTTGTTCATTCTGTCAATTCCTCTCACCTGTCGGGGCGGCTCCCTTCTCTGCTGCAGGGGATGCGGTAAGGTGCTTGCTTCTCCTGTTCGCAAGGTCTGACCCGCCAGAGATTCCTACGGTCCGATGAATTGAAACCGTTTCAGAATCTCCGCATTCAACCAACCAGCGAAATTTGCGGTTGCTTTGGGTTGCGGTTTCCGGTCAGTCGGCGGGGCAGTGCTCCCGGAATCTGCTAGTTTCCATGCTGTAAGCAATGTGCCGAGACAAATTGTCCTGTGGGTCTTCTGGCTGTGCAGCGAAGGCAATACGCGCGGAGGCCATGCGAATAGTTGGGGTGGCAGTGCCTCGGCTTGGAGGATGATGTGAAACCGGAAGCCCGAAACTCACAAAGAGCTCCAAATTCTCAGCCTTGCATCTCAACTCTTGAACCCCCCAGTTTCATGACATCGAACACCAGTTCTTCGCTGAAGCCAAGGCATTGCCGGCTACCGGGTACTACATTCGCCCGCCGGTCCTCAGGCCAAGATAAAGTCCCGGAAGTTCTGAAATCCACCCACACCAGAACTTCTACATGCCGCCAGCATGCTTCACCAGCTCTCCATTTGCAACTCCCCTGACGTCTAAGTCTGCAATGCCTTTCAAGACCCTTAGGTATATACCCTTAATATAACTATGATATACCCATTATATAGCCCATTATAGGGTAGGGGTCCCCCTGTTCTTCTCTCAAGCAGAGAAGGCTTGGCTTTCGCTTGGCTTTCTCAGCGCCTTCCCGGTCTCCCCTAGCTCCTTCAGAATAGGAAGACCGTGCGAAAAGAAAGTTTCGAAGATTCAGATCAGAGAAGAGTAAGAAGCCAAAGCAGAGTAAACGCAGCAGCGAACAAAAACACGTCTGTTGCTGGTGTGAGAATTCGGGGCAGCCTGCTGGTAATTCAAGAAGTTCCACTCGGGGAAGAATCGCAAGATGTGTAGGAAAAGCGAGATGGTAGAGCGGTTATGACAGAAGAATCGGACATATCGGCAGCCCAACACTGACAGGAGGGGAGCAGGGAGACTTGTAGCTGCAAGAACAGCAAAATGACCAGAAGATGAAAGGGTGGAAGATCAAGAAGAGCGATGCGAGCGACACGACCCAAAAGAGCGAGCAAAAGAAAACGAACGGAAAGCACTGCTAGTGGGAAGTTTACGAGGGGGCGGAAAGGCGCACTATTGCGGAACAGGAGTCATTAGAATACAAGGAGAGAACTGATCAAGAAAGATCAAAGTAGTCAGACAGGGATGGCATGCGAAGCGAGAGTACCAGAAGTACTGACAATAGTCAGACCAGTCTTCAAAGCATGGAAAGGCTAGGTGGAGCATATGATATTATTGCACAAGTGGTTGCAGTACAACAACTCACGGAAAGAAGGTTTGAGCCTGTCGACGTATGCAAGGTGCCTCTGAACGAACGGTGATGTTCTCGTAAGGTACTCATCAGCAGTTCAACTGCCCAGACATGCCGGCTACTGAACCCATCAGCTTTACCCGCCGAAAGTCAACCGAGCATCTTCAAGGGTGTCAAACCGACCCAAAGCAGTGCTTTGGATGTGCACCTGGCACAGGCAACAGCCTCGAAC